AAAAGGCAAAATACTGAAAAACAACAATGCTGTGGGAAACAATGGCTGGATCTCAGTAGAGATACAAATTTGATAAGTAACATCTAAAAAGTAAACGTAAAGTACAGCCAGAATTAGAACTAGAGCTTCCACAATTCCATCCTCCACCAATTTACTTTTTTTTACAAACCATCCAAATTAAGGAGTACTTAGGAAAACAACTTCATGCAAAGTAGTTTTTTCCCATGTAGGTCTGTTTTTGCATCAGTAAAGGGCAGTTTTATTTGTGTACCAGTATATTAAAAAAACAAAATGTTTGGCAACTATAGAAATATTGACAGTACCTCCTTGCTTGTACTGTGTGATTCGACTGAGACAGGAATGTTGAGTGCGTATGTATCTTATTAGCAGACAGCATGGGATTACAACGTCATCCATCCACCAATTACCAGGCATTTCATAATCATGTCAAAACAAACTTGTATACCATTTAAGTAGCGTGTTTATGTCATATTTACATATAGAGCATTAAAATTATCAACAGCCATTTTTATATGCGACTATGCCCTACGTAATAACCAATCACATAATGGAGAGTTATGGATGTTTCATAAATGGATGAATGCGGTTATGCAAAATTGTGTGAACTTCTATTAACACCGCTTTAATACATGAGTGACCTATGACCGTAAGTTCCAATGAACTTTTGACCCATGGATGGATTGAAGCAGAAGTGGAATTAGGGTTACATAGGAAGTGGGGTCTCAATTTGCCTCCAGTGAAAATAGTTTTCAATAGTAATAATGGCCCTGCAGGTACTTGGAAACATAAACGAGGAATGCAGTCAAGTAGACAGATTTAGATCACAAGTCACATGACATGGATTTCAGAGATCCAATGGGATTTCATAAATAAATTAGTCGGTTAAGAAAACACTTGGCAGGCAATGTTCAAAAGATTTTCTGACTGTATAAGGAGGGGCCAATGAGACTAAACAATTACAGAAGTATTAATAGTAAATTTATTACAGGAAAGATCGAGTTATTCAAAATGTATAATAAATCTTAAGGTATTTGGGACAAAATGTGCTGATGGGTGAGGAACATCAAGCAAGGATTATACACATTGGTCTACTTAATTTTCTACTGTAATATGTGATAATACAGAAACCTGAATAATAAAAATATACGGTACATTAAGAAGAATTTGCAACAGCCATCAAATGAATAATCTATGCCATAATATTATAATCCAAATATTATAGTAAAAACATTAATTATTTTATGAACCAAGTTTAACATATATTTTAACTATATCTCCTAATTCTTTTTCACTGTTTTATTCCAATGTTTATTAGCAGAATTATGAATTATCAATTTGTTAAAATTAAACTCTTCCATTACGTGATAAAAAGGAGATTGTAAGTTCCAAAATACAAATATACTAATAGAATAAGAATGTCATAATTACAATTACAAAAAAAAGTAAAAACAGTTACCTGTCTAAGTTTTATATTGTAAGTGGCTCGAGTCACAGTTTCTGTTCTTTTGTCACAACAGCTTCTCTGTATCTTACCGATCATGCGACCATTACCTTGGCAGCAGCAGGTTGCGAGCAACTTAAAACCAAGACC